TGCGTATTAACAAGGCATAACACCATTTCACTTCAAGTAATAACAGAGGAAAAGCTTGGCTTTCATATGAATTGTGCGCTCACGTGGAGCATGTAGGCCAACTTGTTATCTAATAGAGGAAAGGTTTGGCTAAGGCAAGTTGATCTGTCGACTTGTTTTCTAAAAGTGACAGCTTGGAGCCTGATTCACGGCCTGTTTCTCTTCCTTCTTTATTAAGCAAAGTTGACTAAGATTCGGAGGCCAACTTTGATTTTTCTTGCTTGACCGCCAATGGTAGGACGTAGATTATTCAACACCACACTCTTTGATCTGCCCAATCCCCTGCAAACCGATTCTAGTCGTAGCTCTATCGATATTGTCTTTTGTAGTTGCAAACGGTGGCCGCCCATTTCCGTGACCGATGCAGCCAGAACTTTGCTACCTAAAGTATTTGGTGGGCCTTTATTACACGAGAGCAACCACCTATTCTTTCTGAAATCTTTCTATTAATTGAGGCACAATCATTATTTTGAGCAACAATATTGTGGTTCTTAAACCGATTTCATGCCTATCTATAATCCCAATTGCAAGTTTAATAACAAAATTTGGGGGAAGTTGATGTTCAAATACTTGCTGTCCAGATTGAAGTTGCATGGCTTGATTGCATAATTCATGGTGATTTGTTGAATATTTTTGCCGTCGGTGTTCATGAAATTGCATATCGCTGGGTCACTCTCGATCACGTCTTCACGTGTAATTTCATGTTTACATTGCCTATACATTCCTTGCGTTCTAGATTTGTATATTAGGGGCATGCTTAACAAAACCACATGTAGATTTATTAGGTGTTGTACATTTAGGACATTGCATATTAGCCATTCACATTTTTGGGGAAAGTTATATTCACAATTTTAAGGGTGTCCATATTTGCATAATTGGGCATATTGAAGATTTTTCATTACATATAAGGATAGAGTTTCATTATATTAGTATTAGGACAAGCATTATCATGCACATCTAGGCCATTTGGAGTGCATTATTATTAATTGTCATATTTGCACGTTTCCAAATTGGAAAATGTAGAAAAATCATATCTTGCGTGTTAGTAATTTAAGATTGCATCTTCATTAAAAAAAAAAAAACAAATGTATAGTGGAACTCTCCGCAAGTCGCGAAGAGTATTATCGTCCCATTCCTGCATTTTATTTTCTTTATCAGTTTTTTGCTTTTTTTTTTTGGTTTTTCTTTTTAAAAAGTGAAGCACCAAAGCCAATTTGTGTCTTGCAAAGTCTTGGTTTTCCCGCATTTTATTGAACTTTCCTTCCCATTTGCTCCTTTTCACTCTTGCTTCGCCTTCTAGACCAAAAAGTACATGATGTCTAGTAAAGTCTTGGTCTTCCCGAGTTTATGGTATATTTACATGAAGAAATATATATGATCGTGGAAGCTACAAATATCTGGGATAATTTAATATTACAAAACAGGCACTTGTGGATAGAAAGCATTCTCGAAAGTCTTGGTCTTCATTTCATGTCTTGGTAGGTGAAAAGTCTTGGTCTTCCTGGACTTTATAGTTTTCTCTCTCCATTATCTCATTATCACTTGGCTTCACCATATGCTCCTCCCCTGCTCAACAGTGTTCTCCTGCTGCTCATCCGAACCTAGCGCTCATGCTTGTTGGATTGCTCTCGTTTATCTAATCCCGTTCAACGGTCTCCTCCAGGAAGTCTACTCGGAATAGGTAAGAGACATCTATCTACTTGCTCTCTTTTCCCTCAAACCGATGCAGCCAGAACTTCGCTCACTAAAGCATCCGGTAGACATTCATTACATGAGAGCAACCACCCATATCGTTTCTGAAATCTTTCAATTAATGGAGGGAAAAGCAATCTTTTGAGCAAAAGAAGAGGCGACAGTAGCAACAAAAATTTGGTTCTTAAACCGATTTCATGTCTATTTATAATCCCGATTGCAAGTTTAATAACAAAATTTTTGGGGAAGTTGATGTCAAATACTTGCTGTCTAGATTAAAGTTGCATGGCTTGATCATGGTGATTTGTTGATCTTAATTTGGCCTAGTTGTTTTGATGAGGTGATACATCTGCACGCTACTTGTTTGAGCCAAAACTAACCTCTATTTTATGATTTTTCATTATATATTAGGATAGAATTGCATTATATTCATATCAGGACAATTATATTAGAAAAATTAGAATTTTCATGGACAAGCATTATCATGCACATCTAGGCCATTTGGCGTGGATTATTATTAATTGTCATATTTGCACGTTTTCTTTCATAAATCAAATGTTATAAATTGGAAAATCTGGGACAATCTTTATGCATGTTAACAACTTTAGATTGCATCTTCATTAAAGAAAACAAAACAAAAATGTGATGTGGAACTCTTCGCAAGTCACGAAGTATTATCGCCCCATTCTTGCATTTTTTTTCTTTATCAGTTTTTTGCTGTTTATCTTTTTTAGTTTTTCTTTTTTCTCTTTGTTCGAGCCAAAATTGTCCTCTAATTTATGATTTTTTATTACATATTAGGATAGAATTGCATTATATTCGTATCAAGACAATTATATTTAGATTCTCCACTCTTGTTGATTTTTATAACTTTCGATATTTAAAACATGATTGATAAAAGTATCCGAAATAATATGGGCTAATTTTATGATAACAATTCGTAGCACCATACGAGTCTTAAGGGCTCTTCTTTTGGAATGGAAAACGGGCGAATATTTTTATTTGAATCAAGCAGCAAGATATGATTTTATCAATCGTGTGTAGCTTTTAGGCCTTTAACAATTGGCGGATGGTGGGCCATCGTCCTCGGAGGGGTCAAGTCCTTAATGCTATGCTTGATGGGAAATGGTGACAAAAAAGTCTAAGGCAAGGTCCTACCAATTCAATCATTTTGTTTCAGCATTGAAGGGACCGATCTTTGGTCACAATTGGTGGAACGTGATCCAATAATTGTTTTCAACCACCACCACCATCATCATTATCAAACTCACACCTAGAGACTCCACTTTCATTCAATTCCCGTCTTGCATGCACGTTGATTGTCGCCAATCACCAACATCTTTGATCTGCTATTCTAGTCGTAGCTCCATTGATATTATTATTCGTCGTTGCAAGCGGTGGCCACGCATTGCCGTAGCTGAATTCGCACGCATAGACTGTGAACCGCCGAATCCAGTGCTTGTCCCCCTGCTCAATAGTATTCTCCTCCTGTTCATCCGAACTTAGCGCTCGTGCTTGCTGGATTGCTGTTGTTGATTTGTCCAGATCGCTAGTCATATTTTGTCATTCAAACTGGGCATGATAGAGCCGTTATTCAGCTCGAGATAGGCCCATCGCCCATCACAGTTCACCTGCTGCCGTGGTCAAGCCGGAGTCCTCACCTCATTGCTGCGTTCCCACCACTGCCTTGCCGTGATCATCGCTAAGTGGCGTCGTGAGTTGTCACAACAAGCTGCTTACTCGTTGATCTAAACCCGTTTTCCAGTCAACTCTAGGAAGTCTACTCGAAATAGGTAAGAGACATCTATCTACTTGCTCCCTTTTTCCCTCAAAACTAATGCAGCAAGGGAGGTTGATGTCAAGTACTTGCTGGCCAGATTAAAGTTGTGGCTTGATTGCATAATTCATGGTGATTTGTTGATCTTAATTTAGCCTAGTTGTTTTAATGAGGTGATACATCGGCACGCGTACTTGTTCGAGCCAAAATTGACCTCTAATTTATGATTTTTCATTACATATTAAGATAGAATTGCATTATATTCGTATCAGGACAATTATATTAGAAAAATTAGAATTTTCGTGGACAAGCATTGTCATGCACATCTAGGCCATTTGGTGTGGATTATTATTAATTGTCATATTTGCACGTTTCCTTTCATAAATCAATGTTATAAATTGGAAAATCTGGGACAATCTTTATGCATGTTAACAACTTTAGATTGCATCTTCATTTAAAGAAAACAAAACAAAAATGTGATGTGGAACTCTCCGCAAGTCACGAAGTATTATCGCCCCATTCCTGCATTTTTTTTCTTTATCAGTTTTTTGCTGTTTATCTTTTTTAGTTTATCTTTTTGCTCTTTTTTCATTTATTAAACTTAAATTTGGAAAGATCAATGAAAATCTAGACATAATTCCGACAGACAAGTACAATAGAGATTAATGAACGAAAAATCACAACATGGTTAAAAATGACAAAAGTTGGACAAAAATTAGTTGATTTTGAGCAAGAGAACAATAATCAATGCTAATTGTCAGATAATAATCAGTCTCCATAAGTCTTGTCTTCTTGGATTTTATTAAAGTTTCTTTCCCATAAGCTCTTTGTCAATTTTGCTTCACTTTCACGACAAAAAAGTTCATCATACCCAGTAAGGTCTTGATTTTCTTGAGTTTATGGTTTATTTACATGAACAGATATATGATTGTGGAAACTACGAATATCTGGGATAATCTCTAAATATTACGAAACAAGCACTTGTGGATAGAAAGCATCCTTGAAAGTCTTGATCTTCGTTTCCTCTCTTTGGTAGGTGAAAGTCTTGGTCTTCCTCGACTTCATAGTTTTCTCTCTCTATTAGGTCATTATCACTTTGATTCACCATAACCTTTGTTGTTGTCTACAGTGACTGATTCACCCATGGCCATTGTAGAGATTGTTTTGGGTTCCGTCTTGGCTTCCTTCTTTCAGGTCCTATTCGACAAATTAGCTTCTTTGGGATTGAGCAATGCGCAAAGGGAAGGAGCACCGCCCTTCTCTGGAATCAGCACCGACCTGCTCAATAATTGGAGGAAGACGCTAGATACAATCAATGCAGTGCTGGATGATGCAGAGGACAGGCAACTGAGCAGTAATTGTCTAGTGAAGCAGTGGTTGGACGATGTTAGGGACTTGGCCTATGACATGGAAGACTTGCTCGATGCGCTCGCGCTCCAAGCCACGCAGGTTAAGTCGGGGGCAAAATCCAGCACAAGTAGAGGTTGGATAAATTGGAAGTTCTCTCGCTTTGGCCAAGATAAATCCTCCAGATCGAATCTAAACCCGTGCTTGCTCGTGTCTGAAACCGAGGTCCAGGAGATCAATGGCAGGTTGGAAGAGATTGTCATCAGGAAGGATCGTTTAAGCTTGAGAGAGAATGTTGTGGGCAGATCTGACAACACCAACCAAAGGCTCCCTAGCACTTCTCTACCGGAGACTCAGTTTTTTGGCAGGGAGAAGGAAGAAGCACAGATACTCGAACGATTGGTCAGTGAGGTCGAAAATTCTGATGCCACGCTGAGCATAGTCCCCATAGTTGGGATGGGTGGTGTTGGAAAGACGGCATTGGCTCAACGGCTGTATAATGATGCTAGAGTGAAAAGCTATTTCGAGACGAGAGCATGGGTTTGTGTGTCGGATGTTTTTGATGTTTTTGACATAACAAAGACTATTTTGCGGCCGATCACCGGGTTGTCCTGCGAGGGCGAAGATCTTAATGGGCTTCAAGTTAAGTTGAAGGACAGTTTATCCGGGAAGAAGTTTCTTGTGGTTTTAGACGATGTATGGAATGAGAACTACGGAAAATGGACTGACTTCTTAAAGCCATTTGAAGCGGGGGCCAAGGGAAGCAAGATCATTGTCACGACTCGCAACCTTCCCGTTGTTTCCATAAGAGGAGCTTCACCGTATCATTTGGAGCAGCTGTCCCTTGATAATTGTACAAGCTTATTAGCCTTTCATGCTCTTGGAGCAACAAATTTTGAAATTCACCCAGATCTTGAAAGAATAGGCAAGGAATTAGCTAAAAAATGTAAAGGCTTACCTTTGGCAGCGAAGATGTTGGGCGGTGTCCTATGTAACGAAAGGAATCCAGATAAATGGAAAGCTATCTTAAATAACAGAATATGGGATCTTCCAAAGGGAAAAAAAGATGAGGTACTCCCAGTTTTGAAATTGAGCTATGTCCATCTTCCTTCTTATTTGAAGAGATGTTTTGCTTATTGTGCGGTATTTCCCAAGGATTATGAAATTGAGAGGGAAGAGTTGGTACTCATATGGATAGCAGAGGGCTTTTTAGATGGACAAAAGGCAAATGAGGATATCTTGAGACTGGGACAAGATCACTTCGATGAGTTAGTATCGAGATCATTTCTTCAACAATCAAGGGTCAATGCAGCTAAGTTTTCAATGCATGATCTTCTGAATGATCTAGCAAAGTCAATTGCGGGTAGGACATGCTATAGATCAGGGGACTCTCAGCTGGCAGGTAATGAAGACGATGCATCTCTAGAGAAAGCTCGTTATGCATCATTCATGACAACATGGCATGTTACATCAAAATGCCTGGGAGCATATCACGGAATGAAGGTACTAAGAAGTTTAATTCTAGTACGTGTTGGATATAGTGGGGGCTCTTTCTCTATTTCCAGCAAGGTGCTACATGACGTGCTAACAAACTTAAAGTACTTGAGGGTGTTCTCGTTATGTCATTGTTACATCACAGAGGTACCGCATTGTGTCGGTGATTTAAAACATCTTCGATATCTCAATTTCTCGTACACTGATATCAAATGGCTACCCGAGTCAATTAGCACCTTGTGCAAATTACAAGCTTTGATATTGAGAGGTTGTCGAAAGCTTTCTATGTTGCCTTCAGGTATCACAAAATTGGTCGGCTTACAGTTTCTTGACATTAGAGATACAGAAAGTCTAAAAGAGATGCCATTGGGTATCGGTAATTTGAAGAATCTTACTATCTTGTCCAAGTTTGTGGTGGGAATAGAGAAAGGGTCACAGTTAAAAGAGTTAAAGAAGTTGCCACATCTTCAAGGAGAATTACTCATATCAGAATTGCAAAAGGTGGAAGAAGTGAGAGACGCGGTTGATGCTAATTTGTCAGGAAAGCAAGGCCTTAGCAACTTAGCCTTGCATTGGGGTGAAGATTTTGGAAATTTGCGGGATGATAAGCGTGAAGCGCAGGTGCTTCACTTTCTCCAACCTCACACTAATCTTGAAAATCTCACTATCTCGTACTATGGTGGTGCAAAACTCCCATCCTGGTTAGATAGTCCATCATATTCTAAGATAGTGTCTTTGTACTTGCGAGACTGTCCTAATGTCACGTCGCTGCCCCTACTTGGACAACTACCTTCACTTAAGGAATTATCTCTTAAAGGTCTACATGCAGTAAGAATGATAGGCTCTGAATTTTACGGTGGTAAAAGGCCTTTCTCGACCTTAACAACTTTGAAGTTTGAAGAGATGTTGGCATGGAAGGATTGGGGTCGTTATGCCGGGGACCCAAAGGAAGAATTCCCATTCTCCTGTCTTCAGCATCTTGTTGTCCGGAGCTGTCCTTCGTTGGTCGGGACATTGCCTTGTCAACTTGATCTTCTCATAAAACTTGAAATTCATTCATGCCCGCATTTGAATAACTTAACCGGCATGGTTCGTCTTCCATCTCTCCGCGAGTTATACCTTGAGGATTGTAATAAGGAGATCTTAACGTGCTTGGTCAGCCTAACTTCTTTAACCGTTCTCAGAGTTGAAAATCTTGCAGATCTCGTTTGCTTTAATCATGAGTTTATGAGCGGTTGGGTCAAGCTAAAGGAGCTTCAAATAACAAGCTGTGACAAGCTAACACACTTGTGGCAAGATGAAAATGAAACACGAAATCTTATTTGCCTCCAGAAATTAGCCATCCAAAGCTGTGCTCAATTCACGTCTTTTGTGGCAGGAGAAAAAGAGATAGAGCTACCTTCCAACCTTGAAAGCATGGAATTAAGGAATTGCATGAGTTTAGAAAAGCTTCCGAGCAAAATGCAGGCCCTCAAAAATTTGGTTATTGAGAAGTGTCCAAAACTCAAGGGATTTATCATTGCTCCAGATGACCCCACCAGTATTAACCCGATGCCTCAACTTGTTGCTCTGAAGACACTTCAAATTAGTGATTGCGAGGGAGTGAAATCGCTAGAAGAGATCCCCATAGAATCGTTGAAATATTTAACTATTAACAACTGTATGAAACTAAGAAGCCTACCACAGTGCCTTCGCACGTTCTCCCATCTCACTTTTTTGAAAATACGTGACTGTCCAGCATTGGAGATAGAGGACTTCCCTCCCCTTCCCATCACCCTGTCGTGTTTCTGGCTCCGTAATTGTCCTAAGGTAAAGTCTCTACCAAATCAGTGGCATCGTCTTACATCCCTCGGGTCGCTATCTATTATCAATTGCCAAAATATCAAACGCTTCCCCGAAGGAGGTTTTCCTCCCAATTTGCTGCACCTTATAATTGGAATGTGTGAGAATCTGGAGCAACCAGTGAGAGAATGGGGCTTACACATGCTCACTTCCCTCGAGAGACTGTTAATTGACGGAAGGAGCATGGGAGGGGAGGGAGAGAAGGTGCGGTTTCCTTTGGAGGAGAACGAGGAGGAGGAGGATGCGTGGAGTCTTCTCTTCCCTTCCTCTCTAACCAAACTTGCCATTGGAGAGATGAAGAACGTGGAAAGACTGTCGAGCGGTCTTCGCAACCATCTCTCCTCTCTCGAAGAGTTACGGATCCACGATTATCCGAAGTTGAGGTACTTGCCAGAGGATGGCCTCCCTCCCTCCCTCAAAGAATTGCGCATAGGAGAATGTGAGATTCTGAAAGACCGATGCTCAAACCTCGGCGGCGACTATTGGCCCCTCATCCAAGACATCCCGAGCATCCTCATTGATGGCGATCGGATCCAGTGAATTGATTCGGCCATGCACAGTGGGTTTTCTAGGGTTCGGGTGAGCTTTATGGTTTTTGGAGGCATCGATTTCCATTTCTGCTTCCTCAATTCGATAGCGTTCGTTGTTTGTTCTCTTCACAGCATCTTTTTCTTGTGCCCTAGCTCATTCACTCTAGTTGTTTTGCAGGTACCATTGTAATCTGCATTGGCAAAATCTATTGGAAGGATCATTTGCGAACATTGTTGAGGTAGGGCTAATGCTGTCAATGTTTTTGTGTCATTTTTTTGCAATTTATCCCAAAAAAAAAAAAGAGAAGAAACAAAGAAATTTATTTGGTGCACTGATATGTTCTAAACTTTCTTCTAGTGAATATAATCTTTTTCAAAATCTAAAAAAATGATCAGTTATGTGGAAGCTGTGATGTGATTGTGAAGGAAGGGGATGCAGCATATATATATATATATATATATATATGGTTTTCTTTAGAATCGAGAACCTTAGAATCGAGAACCTTCTTTTTGTTGATGATGATCCTTCGTAGTATTAAGCAGTTGATCTGGGATAATATTCTGAGGCAGTTCGTGGCTCCAAGCTTTCAATACAACTCCTATTCATGACAGCATTGATATTCCATAAATCACCTTCTGTTTGGGTCTTGATCTCTGATGGTTTAGGAACTATTGCTTATAGCTTGCTAGAAATTTTTAGCCAATATACTTATGCTTGTTTGGTTGAGATTGTAATGATATGTTGCCTGCCTCTGGGTTTGCATTTGCGTTTACTCCACTGCGGAAAATGATTTTGTCATACATTGTGTCATTTTATCTGAAAATACCTTCTTATGTGGCATTCTTCCTGTAGGGAGTTCAGGAAGAAAAGCTTCGAGCTCACTTGGGTTACTTTGGTGTAACTGGAAATCGTGCACTTCAACCAATGTATACCTTGTCTGGTACATGTCCTCCCTCTTGCTACTGTTGCATATGTAAATTTTTTGTTGCAGCAATTTTCGCATGAAATTTAGAAGCTCTAGTAGAGGTTGGTCAATTTGTAATCTGAATTGTAGTTCACTGTGTACTACTGCGTGGCTATTTGGATTTTATTGCAGATATAACATGGTGCTTTGACCATATAAATAGGTGGTCAGAAAAGCAGAGCTGCATTTGCCAAGATAACTTTCGAGAAACCTTACATAGTTTTGCTTGATGAGCCATCCAATCATCTGGTAAGTTTACTCATTTTTTTCCATCTTATGACTTCAATTACCTTTTCAGTTAGCTTATTATTTTTCTTGCACTAATTGAACTTATCGGAATCTGCTATTACATTGAAATTTTAGGAGAACCAATCAGTGATTACAGCTACAGAGAGCCTCTGTCATCATATATATAACTTATAATGAAACATAAACCAATCTAATTATTCCAACTTGGAAAATATTCGGAATAGAACAGTTATGCTAGCCTGATCAGTTTTTTCGTATTAGAGTAATCATTATACCAAATAGTTCTGATATCTGTGCCTATAGGCAATATTGGGCTCTGCACATAGTTAATGTGGTTGTGGACCTACTTTTGTTTATAAATTTGGTCTTCAAGTTCTACTTTAATGACCAATGACTGCTAAAGTATTATCTTTGCAAATTGTGTGTTTCTTGTCTAAGGATGAGTGACTGTGATTTTGCATTTTTGCCTATCCTCAACCGTAGGATTTGGATGCGGCGGAGGCACTCATTCAAGGTCTGGTCTTGTTCCAAGCAGGAATTCTGATGGTGAGATTGATTTTCTTGTCAAAATACTTCAATTTGACCAATGATGGATCATTTTCACGGATAACAGCCCTCTTTTTGCCTTGATTTGCAGGTTAGTCACGATGAGCATCTAATAGCTGGAAGCTCAGATGAGGTCTGGGTGGTTTCTCAAGGCAAGGTGGCGCCTTTCCACGGGAATTTCCAGGACTATAGGAAGGTGCTTCAGTTTTCCTTGAATAAGGTGAATCTAGTTATTGACATCAAGAGAGAGTGGTTCAATGGGTTCACATTACCTTACAAAACAGAAAATGAGGCTCAGCTACATAGAGAAAGTGAAAAATGACGAAGAGAGGATTGTTGCTGATATACAGGATGGACTCACAGTCATACTGGCCCTCGTTTGTCATATATACTTGATAAGGGCTCGTGGAAGGATGAGTCTAAGTTTTTGACATTGAGCATGCAGTATCATTTGCAATAGCTTAAGAACTGAGTTGGGATTGCAGTCTTGGTATAATTTGTCACGCCCCGTACCCCACGAAGCGGGAGCATCCCACTTTCGGTCGATAAATTGCGACGTCCCAGGAAGCGTCGCCGACCCACGCCCATACAGAGATCAAGCACAAGCGGAAGTATAAAATAAACAAACCCAGACAATTACAATATGAGCCAAGGATAGCCATCCAATAAACAACGATCAACGCAGAAAATATGTACATACTTATATTACTATTTTAAAACTCTTTTTACAGTGTTCACGACAACCAAAAAGGAAACACCAACAGCTGAGAATAATCCAAACAGCCACTTCTCTGGTCTGCTCCATCCCCACCGGGGTGCATGCTTGACGACTGCTGGATAAAAGGCGATATTCCCAAAAAGAGGTGGTGACCTCTGCATCCTTCTTGGGGGTCGAAAATGTTTGGCCATACAACCGTGAGACGAATCTCGAGTGAGTTCAACCCCTAAACCTAGGCTAGGCTAGCATGTAATCTCCTGACCGGAAACAAACATTTAAAATCATAACACAACCATAATCATACAATTCTCTGACCCTGCAGGTTAGATAGTTCAATATGTAATAATCACGGGACATACGTGGCACACATTATCACACGTACGCCAATCACATGCTCATACACCGAGTCTCACACACTCGCATGCCATTCAATGCATGTTTATGCATGCAAATGTCATTGACATGTCATGCACATTTCTTTGGCCCACTGGCCCACACTGGCACACTTGCCCAATTAATTATTATTACGACTCGAGTCATCAATTTTTCACGGCCCGGTGCGTCTAGCATGCTTCAAAGTGCATGAGGCGCAGCATCCGATCCGGCCCGGTGTCTCTAGCCTCGCTTCAAAGTGCATGAGGCGCAACACTGTTTCTCCTTGCGAACCGAGCCCGCTTCAAAGTGCATGAGGATGGTCGCCTTCCCGGACGTACGGGCATCGTCCTGCTTCAAAGTGCATGAGGACGGTATCGACCCGAAGGTCCTTAGGTGATCACAGCTCATTATTATCGAACCCGCGTATAACGCCGGGGTATTTTAGGTGATCACATGCTCATGGCAGACACGCATTCTCGCACAATTTTCATCACATGCCTCACTCTTGGCATACGCAATGCGTGTCCATGTTATGCAATGCAATGAACCACGAGCACCAATATAATTCAGACAACCCGGGCATACCCGGCAATTTCACCGATGAACTCCTAAATTGGTCATTAAACCCTATTATCCTCCCCAACGATTCTCATTAATCCACTAAATTTTTCCGATAATAAATTCTACTAATCGGTCCTCAACTTGAGTCTCAAATACACACTTGCTATTATCTAAGCCGGTCAAAAATGCACCGATAATACCTAAACCAGTCCAGGAAAAACGCACTATCAGTCCTAATCCGGGTTTAGGAATTTTACTCACCAAAACAAGGGTCACGACGACGGGGAATGGCGGCCGATCACTGATGAACAGCGAAACCGGCGGCGGAATTCCCGGCGGACGGCGGCGCGGTGTACGGACGGTGAACAGTGATTCCGTACGGACGCGTGAACAGTACCACCCGTACGGACACACTGTACGGACGGCTGGGAACGGGTGGCCGGCGAGGCGCCGGTCACGGCGGCGACGGCCATACGGGTCTGGATGAACAGTGACCGTACGGACGGTGAACAGTCGTACGGTCTCTGTACGGACGGGGCTGAACGGCGACGTATGGACGTGCCGAGCGGCCAGGGTGTCGACTGAGGCAGCGATCGGAGCTCCGTGCATGTCACTGCTTCACTGAGAATGGAAAATGAGAAAAAGAGAGAAAAAGAGAGAGAAAAAGGAGAGAGAAATGGACGGAACCGAGGCTGAGCTGAAGCGGGGGACCAAAGGGGTCGACGGCGAGGCACGGCGGTCGGCGGCGTGCTCCGGCGAAGCTCCGGCGAGAGAGAAAATGAGAGTGAAAATTTGAGAGAAAATGAGAGAAAGTGAGGGGAAAATGGAGAGAAAATTTTTCTGAAGGCTGGTCTGGTCGTGGGAGTGAGAGAGGAGAGAGAAAAAAAATGCTTATCTTAGTCAAAAACTAGGGCCTAGGGTGCCATGTGTCAAAAATCAAGCCAATGGACAATTTTGCCCTTGATCCAAAGGCTAGGATTTGCCCCAATCCAATAATTTAGGGGTGAAATGGTCTTTTGCCCCTAACCATGGTTGACCAGACCTGGTTTAACCTTAACTCACCTTGGTTAATCCCAAAATTAAATCCAATTTTCGGAATTAATCAAAAATGGCCTAGGGGCATTTTCGTAATTTTCCAATCCCGAACCAAAATTCCAATTTTCGCACATACGCGTTCCATATATGCGTGGCCAACATAATATGGCGTCGGAATCGCGAAATTCATCGCGCAAGCCCTCCAAAATCCACGTCAAAGTTTCGGGAATAAAATAATATTATTTTTTCAATTTTTGTCAAAATTCCAGTTTTTGTCCAAAATGACTCCTGGTATGCGTGGCCACCCAAAAATGGCGTCGGCCACGAAAAATAACCTCATTTGGCCTCGAAAAGCGACGCTGGCATCCCGGGGGCAAAATCGTAATTTTTTCACCCCCGGACCGAAATTCCAATTTTTACTCGTACTAACTCCACATGTGAGTGGCCAGCGTAATATGACGTGAGATTCCCAAAAATAGTCTCTTAAGCCTTTGAAAATCGATACCGAAATCCGGGCCCAATTACGTGAACAAAACCCGCTAAACTTTCAATTTCAGAGTCTCTCACTAACGGGTGGCTGTTTAGAGGTTACGCGTATCGACCTAAGGCTATTCGTATCGTGATGGTCTCGATCATTGAGAGAATGAGAAATTATCATTAGTTCCAGAGGTCACAATCATTAGGTTCAAGTTCCGGATTTGGTTGACCACGTGCACTTTTGGTCTTGCAGAATCACCTGCGTCCCAATCGTACATCGTTGGCCTTGGCCAAACCAAATCCGTTACCTTTCCTAAGATCGGCTCACGTTGGCCCAAAATATTTCCTCAGAGTCTCTCGTGATCGGTATCCCTTTCGCGATAGGGTCCCCGGTCCACGTACCATCTTCTAGTTAGCCATACCCTATTGGTTAGTATCCCGAGAGTGATCAGCTCTGGGTGAGACTTACTAAAATGAAATGCGAAATAATATCAGTTTCATTGATCCCGGAAATTACATCGAAATTCGGGCTGTTACATAATTTATGATTCTTTGCACATTTTGTCTAGCAATAGGTCCATTTGTTGTGCCCCTGGAAGTTTGATACTCTATCGCCGCGAAAGTCAGCTTTCCCATGCACAGTAGAATATTTAATCATTTACGAAAGAACCATTTTAGCACAGTAAATTATTTTGTATGACAATCTATTTTTTGAGAAAGCTGTATGAATATATTTTCCCTATTTTCATTCTTTGGCACTGTTCGGGAGAATTAATTATGAAAATATTATCACAGTCAACAAAACTCTATATTCAACTCTAAGTACAGAATTGCTTTTACTAACTATAACGTAGGCCTTGCCTAGCCAAAAAGTACCATAATGAAATTCTGTATAAATGCCTGGATTTGTTAGATAATATCCTTTTAACATGGTCAGGTCAATAATCGAAATAAGAAGCTTTCTTTCTTCCAGCTGCTGTGGTGCAGATGAACGAACGCTACTGAAAACAGAGGTTTTGAATATACGAATGTGACATCTAGATTTTGATGAGCCTTGCTGGTCAAAACCCATTCACAAACTGATTGCCTGATCAAAGATTAAAGTTCATCTTTCTTTTATTCAAATACCTACTCCATCTCTTGACAACATTTTTAGCAGACCTACATATTATATTTCTTTCCTGTGCAAGAGGGGCAAGGGAGGGAGGATCGATAGCCGTGGCTACCCTCTGGATGTTGCTTTGAGGATTTGCGTCTGCAATGAGATATTCTTATTCCGAGAAAGTCGCCACTTAGCACCACTCATGACCAATTCATTGAAGTAGGCAAGCCCCATCACAATTACCCCATCAAGGTGCCAAAGGTCCAGAACCATTCTGACGCAACGAGATGCATGCATTACCATCGCAAATGGTTTCGATCTCGTGACCTCACATGTTAAAGATATATCTTGAGTTTGAGCAGATGAAGGAAATTCTATCCAAAGAGGAAACTTGCTACTATGGCTTCATGATATACAACATTGAGGAATACTGTTGCATGAATTCTATTATTGGACACTTCTGTTACATGATAAAATTATTGCTTGCTTCATGAGGTTTATGCCATAACAATCATCTTGATGTTGAGGAGCAAAACTGTTTTCTACATCGTCAGACCCTGCTTGAGACGTTGTCTCCCAAACTACTTTTAGCAGAGACTTTTGATCTGGAGCGGCTGCAAGCGGAGCTTGATGTTGACCTTTGTTGAGGAATAATTGAGTTTGTTCTTGTAGTCTGCGACTTTGACCGAGTGGGATTTGCAGCGAACCATAAACGCCTCTTCATTTGCAAATGGAGGGGCAAATTTTGACCACCATTTAATTTTCTAATTGTCTTTCAAGAATAGAGCATGCCACGGTCTACTGAACAAGATCAAACATGTGAAGATGAAGAGGTTCTTGAATATTTCGAGAGAAGTAATTGTATCCATTTGAAACCTATGGAGGGAAAATATGAGAACCTGGACCAAATTAGATTAAACCAGTCTTGGAACCAAATAGGACTCGTTTTCTGAAAATTTTTATCAAAGAAGAAGAAACATGAACGATCAAAATGTTTCTGATTTAAAAAGTTATACCATGCTTGCATATACACATAGTAACTATATGGTTG